AGAGGTCAGTGCACGTGCATTTGCAGTGGGTGGATGTGAATCTGCGTCAATGTGTGTTGGTTGCTGTTTTCAGATTCTATATCACCAGTAATTGAAGCGAAGGGTCAGTATTACTATTTAGTGGAACAATTATTTTGATTAGAAAGGGAACAACATGAGGATTTGTTGGCATTTGGAGAGGGAATTGATTGTGTTGGTTTTGTAGGTGTTTGGAACACTAGACATGCATGGACCTTTTTCTCTTAAATCATGTATATTTCTTTCATGTAGAAAGGCTTAGTTTTAGAACTTGGAGCCAATAATACATTTATTATTAAATTTAACAGCGTTTTTTAGATTCTGAATTAGACCAGCAATACTATAGGTCCTCCATGCCATTTTGTCTTGCAGTAATGTCAGTTGGGCTTTGAGCTTTTTTTGTGGTAAATCTATTGCACATACAGAGGTAAAAGCTCTTCCTCACAGGAAGAGAGTTGCCTGATTGCAGAGGAATCTAACTGTTGTTTGAAAAAGAAACTGGCTTTTTGTATTTCTGTTTTTGCCTTCTACTGTTGTGTTACATGTGCATTACAGGTTGCTTTATCTCAATTGTCTGAAAGCTTTTTACATTTGAGTAACAGGTCTTTCTTTTATACCTTAGAAAATTAGTTCTCCTTTTTATCTGAAAGGAGCACCTTCTTTATGTGATCTTAAGGAAATTCCTAAAACCTGCTTAGGAGAATTTCTTGGGAGGAGATCAGGGGAGTCTATATTCTTTATCCATAAAATCTCTGTTAAATCTATCTTTGATGTTTCTAGTTGTGGAATTTCCAGCTATCTGTAACTGGACTGATACTGTGTCTGTTTCTCTTGGATCACTATATATCTGAGGTTCATTGTGGCTTTGATCTGTATTTACCATTTTAAATATGGATCATGACCAGAAAAATCGCAATTTACTATTCGTCCATCTGCCTATCATTCTCTAGCACTGTTTATTTTAACCCTATTTTTTTTCATTAGGTGCTGCACCTGAAACAGCAGTGTGTTGTCAGCATAGCAGGAGAAGGTGTTAATTTGTGTCGTCACGGAAAACTGTCATGGCTTGAGGTACGAGGCAGGTATTTCCCAAAACATGCCACTAAACAGAGGCATAACTGAGAAACATTTGGGGATTAGCTTGTGTTTGACTTGCTTACATAACTGTTTTGCTAAGGGATATGATGTTCTTGAAGACAGATCAGGTATTTCATAAAAGACCTGTTACGGAAAGAATTATGCCATTGTAAGGCAATATAATAATAACTGAACTTGTATGTAATATATACATTTGTATATAACAATGTAACATACTTGGTTTGACCTCTTTATACGCTTGTATACAGGTAGAGGTATTACAGTAGTACAGCTCTTACCTAGAGAAAAACTGCAAGACCTAACCACAATGCCAATATAATTAAAAGAGTAAAATCCATCTAAAGATGATACAGTATCTTAATTAGCTGCGATATTATCAACGTCTGAAAAGGAAGGGCAGAAAGGAGAATAGCTTCATATGTTAACTCAAAATGATCTTAGTTTATTTTTGTATCGGTTTAAAAGTGAGTATGTTTATCCAAAACAAAAACTTGTATGGGAGTCATGCTTCAAACTTAATTCATTTATGCAGACATAAGTGTTGACAAATGTTTGCTTTGGTATAGCTAAATTGTTTTCAAATAACAGCTTTTGTTAAACTATTATGAATTTGAACACAGGCAAAACCTAAATTTCATATCGTGTTTGAAATGCTAGGATGAAAAACAATGTCATTTACTTCTTTGGTAGTGGTCTTTGACAATGAAAGGAATGTCATGGGCAGAAGAATTTTGTTGGAAGTGGTTTTTTAAAAATGGCACCATAATAGGTGTAGGAATCTAAGTACTGTGCATAGGGTTTGCTCTTGATATGTCTCAAAATGCTATATTTAACTGTGTATAGTAGGCTACTGGATTGTTTTTCACAACTATTGTGAGAGTCTCTGAGCATCTCTGGAAAAAACTACTTTTTTTATGGATTATCATTAAGGAAACTAAACCTGCTCGCCCCAACATAAGCCAGTACATAGAAGATTATGGCTTGTAGGCAACAGAGCACTCTCTCCTACTTTCAAATCCTTTGTTCTTCTGTCCCTCACTCATTTTCTCTGTAACTGAGTTTGTTGTAGATAGCAACAAAGAGCCGTATTTTCCTATTTGATATCTTCCTTCTGGGACCTCAGGCTTTCAAAAATGGATTACAAATGGTGCTGGAAGATAAAAACATCTTGAAGGTAAGGGTACATGGTGTGTGAGGACATTTGTGGTGGCAGAGGTCATATACGTATGTAATGATCTAGCTGCACCAAAAAGTTGCAGTTGGACACAAGTTTGCCTGACAGCTCTTTCTTGCTTCAGGTCATGCATGACTGCCGCTGGATCTCAGACTGCCTCTTTCACCAGTATGGTGTCCTTCTCGTCAATGTCTTTGATACACAGGTACCCTTCAGATATTCTGGTTGGGAACAAAAGTTCCCACAAGAGAAACTTCAACCTTGTTCAGGGTGTTCTCTCAAAGAAGACTTAACATTACTAGAATGTGACAATTGTTGAACCATGTAAACATAGTGGTTTTGTTCTAGCTAACAAGAACTATCAGCAGGCAAGGCCGACAGTGTTATTTAGAGTCTTGTGTAGACCCATTTTAAAAGGTAACTAATATATAATATTAGCAGCAATTTTAATATATTGGGGTTTTTAAGATGTGTTAACGGGTCTTGATCAAACTTGGCACAACCTGAGGCTACCCTAACGGGGGCCAGCTTGGCTTGTGCTTTATATTCTTTGTTGTTCTTTATGCCATTTCACAAGTGTAGAAACAGATTCGGGCTACAGGTATCCAGCACTGGGAAGCACCTGCTAATAAAAGCAGTGGTGGAAGTGAGAGAACAGGCCATGTTACCACAAAAATCTGTTTTTGCTGGTGCAAGCCCTGGTAGTTGTGGCAGTTAATGTTGCATGACTAACAAGAGAATTAGAGGCTTTTGAGAGAGAAGAAAACATGATGGCTGTGATCTTTCATAATAAGCATGGATATGTTATGCATAGTTATGTAGGACTTGTCCTTGCCTGTATACTGACTTTTCATGTCATAGATATGACTGCCTATAGTAACTCTTCAAAGCCCTAATCTGGGCTATGTAGTAAGCTTTATATAGCAGAGGTTTCTCTCAGTCCCTTTCTGATCTTAGTTTGGCCTTTTGCCCCTAAAAATTATGTTATTCCATTACAGGTCAAATATCAGTCAGTGTCAAGTCTTGACTGCCATGAAAAAAGTAGGGATGAAAATTCCCCACCAGTGCTCCCAACTGTGCTGGCTAGAACATGTAACTGATACAGTGGAAATAAGTAACCAGAACTATCCACCCTAGGCGGTGGTCTGAGGTACACAGAATGGCACTCATTGTTCTGTTGTCTTGGTATGAGCTGGCATGCCTACTTTTCTTGCACTGATAGATCTCTAGGCTTAGATTTATTTACTCTGATTCATTGGCCTGAATCCTACTTGTAATGTAAGTAAACTACCCTGCGGTGTACCTGATATTGTGGAATCAAGCTGTCTAGATACCTCTGAGCAAACTCTCATAGATGGTTTTAGTGAAGAACTTCTTAGAGACAGCTTCTTAGTGTTGTTAAAATTGAAACAGGCTGTGTGCACAAGTGAGACCGTGCTTAAAAAACACAGCAATGGAATGAAGAACTGTGGTTTAGATGGGATCCCACCTGCGTAATTTTAAAAGTGTTATTTATCCCTGGTTTTGGCCAGTTGCTGCAGCTGTTTATTCCTTGCAATAAGTAACCTAATATCATTAACACAACATGTAGAGGATGACAGTGAAAGGTTTCTGATGTTCACTAACTGTCTTCCCCACTGATGTTCTTATAGTACTTAAGTATCACTTGTTGAAGTAACTTTTAGTAATAATACTGCTATTTCACATTTGACTGCCTTGGGGGGGGCGGGGGGGGAGTGTTTGTCCCTGTTGGGGTATAGCAGCCTAAAAAGCTGTATAGTGAGTTGGTAACTGGCTGTTGTCAGTGCTTGCATCCCTAACATTGCACGCTGAAATCCCTGCCTATTGTAAAATGTTGGTTGCACATCTGTGTACTACCAAAAGAAATAATACAATTCTTCCTAGAGGTGTGTGCTGAAAGAATAAAGAAAACTTGACAGCTTGAGACTTTCCATAAGGCAGAGATCCATGCAAGGTTTAATCATAAAATGTACAAGTGAAGAAGTCACAGTTGCTGTGTGGTTGCACAGATCAGTGCACACAGATTACTCTTTAGCGTGTCATTGTTTTTCTGCCCTTGAATCCAAGCCATTAGCATGCAATGACTTTGGACAAAGATTTCCACAGTGACAGCTACATCACTGTTTTCATTGTAGGCAAGTTTATTCTGTAATCTTGTTCATTCAGATTAGACTTTTTATGAATAGTCATCAAAAAGATGCTTTCGTTTTTGTTTAAATATTGAAGTCTTTTCTCTCCTTGTTTAGAAAGCATTGACATTTTTTACTAGAAATTCTCTCTAACCATCTAGAAGAATGGAATATATTTCCATAGATTTGAACATCATCTTTGTTTTGACTTTGAGTAAAAGTAACTGATTGCTTGAGAAGATCTTTCCTGAGGTTCCTCTTCATCTGTGTTTGGCCACTGAGAGTGAAAAGACAGAGAAGGTTTTAGTGGTTAGAAGTACAATACAAAGGTCTGTTCAGTAATGAGTGATGGAAACTTGCTTTTTGCTTGGTGATTTGTGCTTAAAATCCAGTGAATCTTCTCCATTTTATTCTCTTCAATGAACTCATCATTTTGAATTGTTGCAGTTCCTTTTTCCATGTATGTTTCCTGCCACTCTTCAGTTAGTGGTTGTAGACTCCTTTGGACTGCAGCAATGTAGTGGACCTAGCAGAAATATAGGCAGTCTTAGATGCTCTGTCTTACCACAGAACATAAGAGGTCTGATGTTTCTTTCCTTAGTCCAAGACAGCTTGTTCTATTTATGATGCTCTGATGTTCTGCATTTTCTTCATAATACCTTCATACAGTCTTTTATTCCTTGGAAATTCAGTAAATAGATTGCCTTAGCACTTTCGTCTGGTGGGCTTAGCAAATACCAGGCCTCTCTCCCAGAGAAGGCAGCAGTTAGCTGCTTAGCTGATGCCTCAGAGGCAGCTTTAGTCATTAATAAATCATACCAGCTGGTTTGCCTTTGCTATTTGACAGGAAGATATTTTTAATTTTTTTCCCCCAAAGACTTTATATGTAAGTTGGGAATGAGGATTTTGTCTTGGAACTTATCCTCACTATAAGAGGCCAGTTACAATTCTGTCATTGCTAATGCAGGGGCTGAGCTGGTGCTGCCAAGCACTACATGATCTGGTCTAGGTAGCACATGGGCATGGTGTAGTAGGACGGCTCGAACAGTGGCTTCAGCTGTAACCCTTGCGGTAGAACTGAGCTGGCCTGTAAGCTCATGGGGTTTTTTGGTGCGATTGTAGATGCTTGTATTGAGTGTTGGCTCAAGGTTTCTCAGGAGAGAGTAGTAAGAACAAAAGGGCTATGAAAGGTCAGTGAGGATTTCAGGAGACCAGAGTGGGAATCTGGGCTTTTGAGTAGCAGAGGAAATCTGAAGGAGAGGTTGTTCTTAATGGCAGATAGCTCCATCTCAGATTCTGAGTGTGTCTGTGCAGGCTTTTTATTTTTTCCTCTCCATTCCCCTGGTGAGTGGACTATCTTCCAGGCTTTCCTTTTCCATTGTCTCCTCTCTGCACCTGTTGCAATAGTCCCACTCATCTTTGTGCTTCCTGGTTAGGGACAAGAATAAGGGCTGTTCCTGCTCTTACTGCAAAAGGGAAAAAGGGATGAAACCAGGATGAGAAACAAGCGAACACCATGCCATGCAGTTGCTGCTGGAGGCTGTTGTCTGCTTCCCTTCTGGCTCTGTATGCTGTCAAAGATGAGTCTTACTGGCAAAATCAGGTTTTTGGCAAAAAGTTTTTGACAACTTACACGTTCTTTCATCATGTTTTCCTTACATTCCTTACTGGGCTAGAAGGAGCCTTAGACTAATACAACATATAACTTCTACAAGTCATTCTTAAAACTTAATTTACTCTTTTGTGTAACTTCACAGCTTTGAGTCAGATTGCTAGCTCTGCAATTGTATGCAGTCAAAATGAGGATTAATTTGTTTGCCGTGTACTGTACTTTACTTCTCATGTGCATCCCCACTGTCAAACCTTCACATTCTTTGCCTTGGGTTAACAGATGCTGGTCATGGCATATTGATCCTTTCCACCACAGGTTGCTGATGCTCTGCAGTTCTCAATGGCAACAGGTGGCTTCCTTCCACACCGTGTCTGCACGTTACAGGAGTGTTTGATGCAGCAATTGAAGATACCTTCCAAATGGGATGACATCATGAAGTTCTGGGAGCAGATAGCTTCAGTGAGTGATTCAGTGAGGCACCTTCTGAAGGCTCAGTTGTGAGCTGTGCTTTGCCCATCTCAAGATGTTTCTGTCTTTTTTTTAAAGAGGATGACACTATGCAGTGGTAAAATTGCTGTAGTTAAGAATGTTTTGTCACACTGACTTGCAAACTTTAGTTGGCATCAGTGCTTACACTGATATTTCCTAATAGCTCATTTTAAATTGAGGTTTTGAAGAACCACAAAGCCTGTATCATAGAGGATATATATAAAATTTGGGTGAAAAAATGTTCTGGATATCTTAATATATTTGACTAATTTTGAAACCTAGTTCCAACAGAACAAGTT